TTATCATAATACTCATGTATTTATGAGTTGACTCAAATTAAAGAGGAAAAAATTGGTTGTCAAAGTTACACAAACATTTTTCCTCTTTAAATGGTCAAAAGAATTTGAGCATTTATATATTATTAATTAATTGTAAAAATCTTTCCACAAATTAAATAATTTCCACCTCTATATTTTTGTCTCTATTGTTATTGCCAATAAACCTTAACTTACTAACTCATTAGAGAAGACCATGAAAAAATATTAATAATTTTAAGTTTTTTTTTTTCATTTAGTTATTTGTATTTAATGAATTCGCATTGTATAAAACTTTATTAAGAGGAAAATATTCTCTATGAATGATTTTTTTTCATACCAAGAGCTTAAACACAATATCTTTGATTAAGAAAATAGCAGTTCCATCTGTTTGATAGTATTATCAATTGAGGTATAAAAAATATTTATACTTTATCAAATCATTTAAAAGAATATATTTATAATAGCATATGTATAATTTTTTTTAAAATGATGTCAATATTTATTATAGTATAACCATTATATTAACATAATATTGTATTAAAAAAATACAATGCAAATGTAATATTACAATTACCCTTTACAAGTTATTTTTTAATTTAAAATTACCTAAATTATTACTTATTAATTATTAATACATTCTTATCTAATGTAGCCACAATTAAAACCTAGTACATGTTTACCAACAGACTTAGTTGAATTTTATTTATTTGATTCCATTTTCCACAACTTTTATTTAATTGACAGATGACTAATTAATTCCAGTTGTAGAAAATGGAATCGAATAAAAGTTTTATTAAATTAGTTGGTCAACACTATGTTTAATTTGTGACCACAATTGGTCATCCAACCATAATTAAATTAAGCCTCCAAAAAAAATAATAATATGTTTTTATGTATATTTCTGAAAAATAAACGGATAGAATATATTGATTGTATTATTATTTTAATTGATTTTAGAAGGCAAAATCGTAGCGGTATAAATCACTAGTGATTTTAAAATCCTTCACCAATTCATATACTGAATATCTTTGATCATGTGTTTTATTGGTTTTGACTCAATTTTTTAATAGTAAAATAACAAATGAAAGATATTAATCTAATCAATAGTATCAAAATTAATTAATTAATTTGACTATTAAGTGTATTTTTTTATAGTACTAATAATTAATAAAATAGGAGTTCAAAGACAAAAGGACAAAAAGAAATTGCTAAAAATTTTAAAAGGGCACATCAATTTATTTATTTTGTAATCAAAAGGGCAAAGTTGCTTCTGACAAAGCGATTTTCTTTGACCAAATTGACGTCGTTGTTTTTTTTAAACATCGCTACCCATGCAACATTTTTCAAAAAAAGAAAACTTTTTAGAACTGAAATCGCTGTTATAGCAGCGATTTTCTTTTAAAAGATATTTTTTTAAAATCGCTCGGAAGACAACGATTTCATTTAATTTTTGTATTTTTAAATATATTATTGTCTTTGTAGTGTTTTATACTGCCATTTGTTTAAATAATTAATAGTGATTGTACATGCTTGGTTTCACCTTAATTTCTTTAATTTTTTCTATTGATTTTGGAATTTAATAAAATCGCTGCCTGTCAAGCGATTTTTGAACAATTTTTTCTTTTAAACTTTTTTTAAAAAATGACTATAGCAGCTATATCAATTAAAAAGAAAATTGACTGCCACAATAAGGACTTTAAAGAACAAAGATCTTTTTTTTTTTGATGAAATCGCTGTTGGAGCAGCGATTTTATGCTAACTAACGACATTACTTTTGTCGAAAGTAAATCGCTCTTAACAAAGCAATTTTACTCTTTTGGTTAAATTTTTTTTTGATATGCTCTTTCGAAATTTTTGATAATTTTTTTTTTTACCTTTTTGATCCTGAACTCAATAAAATAAAGAGACAACAAGTAGACATAGATTCCTATTTGACGCAGTTGTGTTGAAAGAATTAGGGTTTTGTTTTCCATATATTATACATCTAGAGACTATACATTATATATATATATATATATATATATATATATATAATA